GGAAAATTTTTGTTAAAAAAATAAAATAAAAAAATTTTGGGGAGGGTCACCCTTATCATTGAGGGGTATAAAAAATAGATGTTGGCTGATTCTCAGACCTACCCAATATGCACACAAAATTTCATAAAAATTGGTAAAGCCGTTTCGGAGGAGTTTGGTAACAAACACCGTGATACGAGAATTTTATATATAAGATACAGAACGTCGGCTATCTGACAGTATGGATCATTTTAAGTAGGTACTGTATAATTGTAATTTCGATCAATAGCCTGTTTAATCACAAATGTTTCAACTGATCTGCAATTCTAAACTAGCGTAGCTCGCCTACGGTGGGCGGCCAACTGGGCAACTCGTGTAGTATTTCCGTCACTGTTCGTAGCGTTTCCGTAGCCTGATCGTAGTTTGCGCCCATGTTATATGCTACATCGCTTATAGTTTTAACTTATTACTTGATCAACTTAATTATATATATAATCTTATCTATGCCATTTTAATCAAGTCACAGATGATACAAAACTATGATAGTATATAAATACGAATATTACCTATACTCGAATATAAATTAAAAAAATAAAATCAGTTATTACACAGTTATTACTCGATAAAAGATATTGTCAAAAAAAATATTTCAATATGTTTCATATTTAGTGAACTTTTTATTCGTATTTATTATTTGATGAGAAGAAGACAAATTTTTAAAAACCTTAAAACTTCATGTCCTGCTACGTCCTGTGTACCTACCGTACAATTTCTTCAAAATAAGTTTATACCTAATATGAATTTCATGTTAGATCGTAATAAATTTAAGTTACGATTAAGTTAAATATAAGTAGGTATATCGTGTAGTGATCGAGGTAGTGACGACAAAACGCAACGCAGGCAGCGTTAGTGCGCGCCGCGCCGGCCGGTCGACATGACGTCGCGCCGGCGGCGCCGCGTCGCTTTTCGCGACTATGTACCTATGGACGTGCGTGCTATGGCCAAGGTATAAGAAAAATAAGTTTTAATAATGAAATTGTAACATTTAATACGGTGCTTTATGGAGACGAATGAAGTTGTTTTTTCTAAATTATTTTCCCGAAGAATCATTATGTTAAATGTAGTTTCTACCGTAAACTATAAGTTTCAGAACAGCTTAAAGTGCACTTTAACTCGTTGGAATCTTTTGTATAAAGACTAAGGACGTGCATCTCGTTTTTGTATTTATTTACTTTTTCCCTTGATCTTATATCTTTTACCAATACCGAAAATTGATATTTAAAGGGTATTATTCTGTGAAATCCCAAAGTATGTAAACGAAAATATTATGAATATGACTACTTAAGTTACTAAATAAATAAATAAATAGTATAGTTTCACCGTGTATCTTGAGACAGGATACATTACTTACTTCAGCATTTATACAATGCTACGGTTTATAATATTATGATTGTAATAAAATATAATTTAATCATTATCATTAATCTATTTACGTTCATTGATAATAAAAATAAAACTTAGAAAATTTAGTTCTAAATGTCATGAGGATTTGCATTAAAAGACACGGTAAAGACAACAGTAAGCGAAATAAAACTAATTTTAACAATAACGACAGATAGAAGCCCGTTGTACTAATATATTAATGCTACAAACAACGACTTAATACAAAATATCTATCTCCTATTTGATGTAATCTAAGAAATAACCCTTGTTATTACTGATCTCGTCGCGATAATATACGATTTTATATACGTAAGTATCCAGATATATATAATTAAGTATTGCAAAAAAAAAACCCTAAATCGTAACAAAATTAATACGCGACCAACACCGTAATAATTCTTATCGTTTGAAAAGAGAATTATTAAAGTCCATTCAAATTTGACGAAGATGTCGTGTAATAATCACACAAAAAAAAAATGCCGGCTCATTAAAAAACTCCTCAAATATTAAGTCGTTTAAAAACAGAAGTGGATCAAACAATCAATCATTTATTTACATAAAATTTTACAAGTTGTGTTTTGAATATAATACGTATAAAACTTACGCTATTAGCTACGTAACAATGAAAAGGAAAAGTAACTAGTTAAAATATTCGTCATAATTATAAATGTTCTTTCTTAATAACCAAGATATCAGTTTGTTTATGAATATGGAAATGTTTCTAATGTCTTTTAATTCTATAGACAACATGTATGCTTTTTGTAGCCTGACTAGCAATCTGGTCCGGCTTCGTCCGGATATACAGAATTTTTTTTAAATAATATATAGCCTGTGTTACTTGCTGATAATTTAGCTTTCTGTATGTGAAAAGTGATTAAATTCAGTTCCATAGTTTTTGAGTTTATCCATTACAAATATATAATCAAATCTTTCCTCTTTATAATATTAGTATAGATAACGTGATCAATACTTAACTACTCTGAAAATAGGGACAACTGAATTTCAAAACAGAACATCTTACTGCAATGACAAAATTTTAAGTCTGTGTAAAATAACTTAAAACTACTAGAAATTCTTTGATTTAAGATGAGCTTTCATAAATGATACTTAGGAACTTCATGAAAACAGTAGATAAGAGATTTCGCTTTGACGCGAAGTTTTTTATTAGCTAATAATATTTCGGATTATATAACGAAGTCACTGAAGGCTGCATTGATTAAAGTAATTAAATTTTTGTAGATATCAGTTTCTGACTCTAGGGAAAAATTGCCCAGATCATTAAAATAAGTTCATGTAAGTTAAATGCTCATTTAATAAAAAGAGTATTAAATATGCTAATTTTGGAATATATTTGCCAGATCAGACCTTGATAACTACGTAAATATGTATATAGCGCCTGCTCACGAACTAACCGCAACAAAGAGCGTGTCGGAAACTTGAAGACATAATTCGCAACATGAGATCGTATTAATTCTATTAATAGATAGTCATTAACAGAAATAATCAATGTCGCGTGCTATCACCTACTAAGTATACTAATATTAAAACAATGCCTCTGCAGTGTATTGTGAATAAATTTAGCCAGCTTTGTTTAGGTACACCATAGAGTCAAACACGATATATTTACGTAAACCTCATGATATATTTGTGTTATATATATATACATATAACATTACAAAAACAACTAAATAAATATAAATGTACAAGAAAAAAAAAAACAATCAAGATTAATTTCTTTATTACAGTTCAGTTATTGCAATAAAAGTGAATTCATTAAAGATCACTGATATTTAAGAATTAAGTTTGCTTGTAAAATAAATAAAAAGTTTTAACTTAATACAAAATATTTAACAGTGAAATCAATTTGAACCTGTTCAGGAATATTTCAAGGATTTAACTACGTTATCTCACTGTATTTCAATTTGGATTTCCTGAAAAATCCTATAGTTCAATCGTACCCTAATGTATTTTCTCCTATATGTGCATAGGTGTTCTGCTTTCATATCTAATTTTAATTTATCTAATTATACTTAAACATTTCACTCTAAGCCGAAACACAAATTGTTTTGTATGTATATAAGAATATTTACACACATGGTTCAAAAAAGTATACGTATTTGATTATCATCATCGTATTATCTTATGTACTTATTGCCCACAGCTGGCTAACTATGTAATAGACTTACTCTTTCATATTTCGGCTCCCGAATCATCTGTATCCGTTTATTATATGCAACTTTTATGATGTCGTTGGTCCTTTTTGTGAGGTTTATATGTTATAAAATACATGTAGGGTCGAACATAAATTCTAGAAGAATATATAATATCAAAGAAATTTTAATTAAAAAAAATTATAACAATTATTATTATCTATTAATTTCAGTAATTACGGTTCTCCAACCTGATTTCTATATGGTTGTATACAGCACAATTTTATGGTTAACACGTGTCCCATACACTTTTAACTTACCAAGGTAATGTTCTTATTTTGGTAGCATACTCGTGAATTTTATCGATTCGCGTGACTATTTTTTGTGATGGATATATATATATATATATATATATATGAAATACACAAAAATATAAATGTTCAAGAACAAAGCAATGGCGGTGACTTTATTGTGTAGAGGTATTTGAAAATTTAACACGCAACCATCGACAAGATTTAAACAGGCGGTAAGCACACACCTGCTTCGGGCTTTTAACTTTTTATTTATTTAGCACTCAGACAAAGTAAACACACCTTTTAAGCTTTCCTCTATTTAGTTAACGGTAACATTTTTGTTTTAGACATAATTATACAAATATAAAAAGTCACTAATGCAGAATAAGGTGAACTGTTCCTGTAATGTAAAATATATTGCGTTAGTTATCGAGCGGAGAATTTACTTTTAATAAAAATTTATAACTGAGATTTTCTTTCAAAAATACGTGTCTGCCTGTGAACGTCGGAACCGGGCCAACATGCAAAAATAACACGGAAAATCAATTGCATCGTCGAGGCTGCTGGTCACCCTACTTAGTGCCTGCAGTCTGATCGCGATTTTACAATACTTCACACCACCGCAGTCCCTATCTTTCTTCATTGATCCAAACAAAAGTGTATAATTTTACATCTATATCCTCCAAGTACTTACTTGAACTTATAGCGAATGTTATGTGCTTGATGTTTTAAACAATGTTAGAGTACCTACCCACGTGTTGTACAAGATTTCAACTTTTTTAAAAATCGTCACTGTTTGCTTTCTTTGTAGTAGGTATGTAATATAAAAGTTGTTTATTACAACTTACTGTAACTTGCGTGTAATTATATGTTTAGCATGTTTGATGTGTGTTCTAAATAATATATTTGTATGCAATTCATTTATTATTCGACGAATTGTTAAATTATTTAAATAATAACTTCATAGATGAAAATGTAAATTATTAAAACTGCATTGATTTGTAAAGTGATTGAAATTTATAAAATGTAATAAATTTTCATTAAAAATAACAACATAAACCAACAATTATAGATATATAAATAATGTTAAATTTATATAAATTAGTAAGTATCTATTTATTCAATATGCGTACAGGAATACGAAGAGGAGGGACGACGTTCACGCCGGCATTCCTCCCCCTGCAACTCCAGAGAGGGTAGCACCACTGCGCTACATACGCAGCACTACGACGATGCTGTAAGTATTCACTTAATTACTAATACTATAGATAAAAAACCGGCCAGGTGCGAGTTGAACTTACATACCGGGGTTCTGTACATACGAGGTTTGTCCGATATAAAATGTACGTATAAAAGTTTTTAAAAATTTTATTTTACAATTATTCAGGTAAATCAATTTTATCCCCTTAAAGTACTCCCCCTGTGACATAATGCATTTTTAACGCCGTTTCCACTGTGAGAAGGCTCCTTGAAAGTCCTCTGGTTGTAGGTTTCTCAGCTGCCCCGTCGTAGCTTTTTTTTCTCATTTATGTCCCCCAAATGCCGCCCCCGAAGTACCAATTTGGTTTTTGGGAACAAGAAGAAGTCACACGGGGCCAAATCCGGCGAATAGGGGGGGTGTTCGGTCACCGTAATGGAATTTTTACTCAAAAACTCACGGACAACAAGAGAGGTGTGGGCAGGGGCATTGTCGTGGTGAAGAATCAACGCCCCTTCGCGCCAATTCTGGACGAACTCGTTTACACGAGCTTTGAGGCGTCTGAGCATCTCGTAGAATTTTCCATCAACTGTCTGGCCTGGAGGAGAGATTCTTGATGGACAATCCCTAACATCGAAAAAAACAATCAACCTTGTCTTGACATTTGAGCTGGATTTTCTTGATTTTTTTGTTCGTGGTTCCCCGGATGTCTTCCATTTTGCTTTCACGGCCATTCTTGCCGAGTTTCGAGAGAATATATATTACGACGCGCTGCTCTTCAACGGAAGCGGGCTCCATTACGGGGTTTCGTTAAGAAACTTCACAGATGGCGTGACAAGCCAGTTCATTATACGGCGGTCAGACCAGAACTGAAGCATTGTTAGGGACATAAGGAAGGGGTCCTGCGCTTACCTTTTTTCCCCACTCCTCTTTCTCGCATTCCAGAACACTTTTATATTTCCGGACATATTTCGTAAATATATTATATGATATAAAATGACCGTTGGTGCATTCGTTATACGGAACAGACACCTGACAGTTATTATTATTGATACAATTACAATTTAATACAACAAAATCTTATTTTTAACTAAAATTGTGGCCGTAAACACTTTTTCTCTGCTAGCACTAAAACAAGGTTACCAGTGGTAGTTTTGTTTGCTTACCTGGGTATATATTATATCAAATAACACGACTTTAACACCACGTGATCGGTACAGTATCTAACAATTTTACGTACAAAAATGTCCAATATGCATTCTTTATTGTCAATGTTTTATTTTTTTCAAGTTGTTTATCACATGTAGTAGGTATCTCTGTTTTGCGTTTTTTTACTGCTCTACCAAAAGAGAGATGTGGGTAGGTCAAACTATATGAATCAAACTAAACAAATGAATTATAAACTTTAGTACTTAACTAATATTTTTATTTTGTTTTATTTTTACTCGCATTAGTAAAATATAAGTTTACATTTTATCTTTCGTATTATTATTTTTTAAAAACCAGTAAGCATTATAGCTACAGAATAATTTGCAGTAAGTAAAGGCTTATTTTTTTTTATTTCGTTTGAGTTTATATTTAATATTTCGTTTTATATTTAATTAAACACTGTATTTATTATATATAATAGTGAAAAATATAGTAATTATTGGGTAATTAATTTTATTAAACACTTAGATGGTTCACTACTTGTTTGAAGCTTAATGTTTGTGCGATATTTCATTTACGTAACGAAGGTAAAATTTATGATCTTGAACTCTCTGTTATATATGCAATAAAAGTTATTTATGGATATAGTCTTCAACATACGTAACTTATTAGATTAAGAAATATGTAAGAAGTATGAATCTTTGTGATGTGGCGCGTCTGGGGTAGCCCTTGTCGTCATTTCCCGCCGAAACTCGTTTGTAACTGTAGATTTTGGCGGCATGCCAACCCCTGACAGAGCAATTCCTATCTTACTGCTACATCAAAATGCTATACCAAATATTAGGTACTTACTTACTGAAGATTACATATTTTTTATTTATTTAGTTGTCTATTGATTTATATATAATTTTCTAGTATGTTTTCTATATATGAGAAAAATATAACCATTAATATAAAATATTTCCATTATCTATACATATAGATGCTTAATATTTGCTGGCTTTAGCAGTCTTTTTTATAGATAGGCATAAAATAGCGTGATTCCATAAAAGATCTCTTGAAAAGTCTGAGAACTTTATAAATAAATAAATATCATTATTATAAAAGATGTAAACTAAAACATGTACTCCTTTTTATAATATTTTATTTAATCATAGAGAAGCATTTTATACTTTTGAGATATTCTGTTCTTAATATACACATAATTATTTATATCAGTCTAATACACTAAAATTAAGCAATAAAAAGTATTATTTTACCATTATTCATTAGACCTTGCATTATACATTACTATTTTCTGAAAAATTTACACAATCTTGTAATTTTTTTTTATGGTAAATTTTTTATGTTAAACATAACCAGCAGCAATGAAAAGAGTATGTATACATCTCAAATACAAACAGTTTATTGAAAACATAATTATGATTCCGTCAACTTCATTATAAATTAAATATTACGTATTAATTTTAGTATTTAATAAAATATTTGATATGCGTAACATCGCTAAATGATTATCAAATTAATATTTCTACCTAGGCCGTATAATACCCGCAATATTAAATTTATTTTTTATTATAAAACTTTTTTATAAAATCATATTTGTGTACTTGCTCTAATTAGTAATTCTTATAAGAAATTTTTCTTGGATTAATTTTCAGGTTTCAGTCAGATACAGAAAGATATAAAAACAGTTATTCAGAAATTTCCTCAGAGTAGGCCCTTATATAGATATTTTTTATTTAATGTCAGAATATTACATTATGCAATAAAATTACGTAGATATAATATTATTAATGAGGCTAAAAAGATTAGGAAAATATTAAAATATACAATAAATATTTACTTTCAAATTGACTGTTCTCATTTACAGAAATTATCTGATGAAATTAATTATCCTCTCTATAAACGTCGTTGTCGCGTTTTATATTTAATGAATTATTATCGAACAACATAAGATTTACATACTTTCTTAACTAATTCTTTACTAAATTATCTGAAAGTGCTAATTGTGAATCTGGTAGGTACAGTAATAATATCATATACAATTTTCTGTTATTACGGATAACAAACGAATATTTTACCATTTATAATAATTAAATTTCTACTCTATGTAATTTTATATAATACGTTAAAATATTATGAATTTTTGTTTAAGTACTTAGGGATTCTGATTTCATTTAAAAAAAAATGATATCTTTAAAAAAATCCACTAATAACAATATACAATTGTAGGTACAGGTGAGTGTCTCGAACATTAACTATCCTAATATATTTTGCAAATCACGGTCATTTGTTTAGAACAAGGTTCCGTAAATCGCTTACGTAATCGCTTAATAGGCCAGGCATGGGGTTCATTAATCTATCAACTATGTTAAAGCTAGGCATATTAAATCTATTTCCTTAGAAGATACGTCATAGCTTTTCTTGCAACGTTCGGCGAAGTTCTTCAGTTGCCTTCGCTAGGTCCTTGTTATTATGGAGACGTTGTTTGCCTCCCAAATCTCCTGCACATTCCTCCAAATAGTCTTTAGGTGGCTCGGCTGGATATTTGCTCCCAAATTTGGGTCGAGGAATCCGCACGCGTTTTACATCACCTAACCAACTCTCCATTCTGATTAAATTAAAACGTCTTTTGGCGATTTTTGGTAGCTAACTTATGTCCGCAGATACCTGAAAAAAATAAATAATGACCTTGTTATAAATTGCCACAGAGTCCGTAACTTGTTCTTCGTTTAGGTTTAAGAAATACATAATTTCGTGATCTATTAGGAAAGAGATTACAGTTTAAATTATGGGATACGTTCAGTCTACAATTATTAATTTGGCTGATAAATCATATAATTATAATTTCTACACAAGTTCCACTTTCGCGGAAGCTAACAACTGACACTCTGTTATTATTGCAGATTGTATCGTATCTTAACAAGTTAAAAAAGTAGTAACACGCACTGGTTCTTTTAAATGTTGGTCAATAATTGTGCAAGCTCCAACGATGGTCACTGGGGAATGGTGAAACCTCGATATTGCAACCAGTGAATAGGTACAATTTTATCTGGTGCTCCCCCCGCAGACAGAGCATAGCATACGCCGGGGGCCGTGGGCGCCAATGTCAAAGAACTGGTATATATGGTCAACACTATTTAAATAAATGATCAAATAATGTAATCTTCCTAGCTTCTATCTTATTTTGTATACATAGTAATAATATAAATCTAAAAGTTTACAAAGATCTTTGGATGTTTATTTGGATATTACTGATGTTACTCAATCATCACAATCACGTTTGAATTTAATGAGGTGTACAGATAATCTATACTGTTTATTCTAGATCATCATCGGGCAAAGCGACAGGATATCTACAACTAGTATTGTTAAACTTTATTTCTCATCTGATTTGTGTTATGACTAATGCAGTAAGCGCTATAAAAAGCATCAAGGCAAGATGGATAAAAAATCAAAATCGCTTCTTAAATTAGTTGAACTTTTAAAATCAGGTTTTGTAAATATATAGGGAAATGTTATCTAATATAAACAAACATAAAATCTTTAATTTTGTTGTTAAATAGAGTTAATTATTTACATTACGTTACATCCCTTTTTTAATTTAATTTTTTAATTTAGCTTTAATATACTTAGTAATTGTCGTTTAAAAATTGTATATCCCTCATGTGATTCCATTGCTGTGACCTTTGAGTAAGTGGCGTGTGAATTTTAATAAGCTCAATATTTTTCTGTGGCGTGTTATTACTTACAATAATGTCAAAATCTGAATGTGTATGCTGGATATTAATATTTAAAAATGGCCTTTAATAGGTATTTAGCGTTTATTAAAGAAATTTAAGTTATATTGTAGTGGAGTTTCATAAAATACTGTGACCTTGTTTACGACC